GCGCACCTTATGCGTGCTGATTCTCTACATCCGGTGACAAAACAGTCAATCGTTTAGGGAGCCTTTGATGAAATGAAAAAACACTTTGCAAAAATGCGGGCAATTGGGAGAAGCAAACTCTCATCTAACACCCATAAAACGAGACCACCACGCGGGCACTTGATATGGAAGCGGCGAGTTCGCATATCAAATTGATAGTACTGTCGAGCAAAATTCGGGCTCCCGTAACCTTATAAGGAAAACCATTTCGCAGTTTTAATTTCCAGTTTCGTAAACAGCATTCAAAACTCTATCGAATCCTCTGGGTCTCCATTCAAAGTTCCAAGATAAGTAGACTACCCCTTCGAGGTGGAGCGAAGTGGTGGACGTGGTGAATACTGACCGCAATGCACTTAAGAAGTTCCGACGTATGCATGAACACAGCTGCATAGGGACAGGACTAAAAATTGAGTAAGCTCATTTGAATTAGGATTCTTAGGGACTCCCTCCATTAAACCTACTTCCGTGGTAGTACCTGATGGCATCGATATGCCATAATCGGCTGGAATTTCTAATTGATAGGAGCTTCTCTGTAAAACTCGTCAGCGAGACAAAATTAGTAGTCAAAGTAGAGAAAAGTAGCCACCATTCGCTGAAAATTAACTCATTTTTGAAGGAAATAGCTGGAAATTTCCTGAAGGCCATGGGAAAAGGTTAGTTTCTGATTGTGATCCATCGCAATCACATTCGCTACAACTACGACAGAACAATCTCGATTTGTTATTCAGATGCACCTGCATTCAGCAAGATAATTGATGATATTCGCGCCATACCAGCAGAGGTTCAATTTTTCCCAATTGGTTGAAATTAAATTGGATAAACAACATGAACAAATAACAAATTGAGATTTTTGAAAAGATGCTTATTACGAAGACGTCACTCGCATAATTATTCTAAAACAAACTTAAAATATGAAATGCGGCCTATAAAAACCGATCAATAGTTCACGATTCAACTTGAAGGCACAGTTCACGATAATTTGGATAACCCAGATAATGACGAGAAATGGAAGATAAGGTGGAAAATAGTGCGATGAAGGCGAAGGAACTGTGTGAATCGGTGCTTCCGAAGTGAAAAAAGGCTTCGCAAAATCTTAAAAAAGGGGGCTGGACGAGAATGAGACCACAAGACAGCACACACAGCACGTCACTGCGTACGTGTGGGTCCTGGTGCAAATATCTGGCTACGGTTAGCAAAAATTCATCCGCTAATGAGCATAAGTAAACAAAAAACCCTAGTCACAGCAAAAAAAGCTCACCTTTTTCAGTCTCTTGGGGTAGGAAAATAAAAAAGGGATCGCGGCAGCAAAAAGAGTAACAGAGGAAAAAGAATGGGAGAAAAACATCGCATCATCACTCGGCGATCAGCTGATTGTGGGTGGGTCCTAGAGCGAATAGTTGCAATCTGTATTGCCTCTACACTCGCTGACGTGACATCAACCGAGAGGCGTGAAGCGAATCGAGATAGCAACAGGGCTTCCACAATGCCCTGTCCGCCGAGATTTCGAGAGCGAGAGAGACCCTTTTACCACCCATGGGACCACTGAGTATTCCTAAGGGAAGAACTCATTAACCATTTTTATCGTGAACCGTGCCTTTAAGAGGCGTAAGGACGAAGTACTCGAGGTTAAATTCTTTGAATTGACTGAGAACCTGAATATTTTCGTAAACTGAAGATACACACTCTAGTAATTTTCAAAAGCAATGTGATCTAAACAGGATCGGTACCTTCTCCCCAAACAGCGTACGCACTATGAAGTGGGACTTCTGAATTTCTTGAGAGAAGATACGATGATCGCCGCGGGACCATTACTGATTCAGTCGTGGGGATTCAGGGAAGGGAAGATTAGCCATTTAGGCTCTCCGTATGAGCGGAGATGGTGTAGTGTAAAACAGCACACTATCGCATGCATGGTCCTAGAAACGAAACATGGATCGATACTCGCCCCGGTCAACCAAGAAGGTCCGTTCGGATGATGTGTTTTTTAACTACTAAATTAGGTTAGTCCTTGGCATCTTCAGAAGATGAAAATTTCCCCGGTTCTCAGTCAGGGTCAAGAGTACAAATTCTAGTTCAGGGGTACAGGGGTCCAGCCTTCAGGGATCAATTAATGGGTATCGGATTCGTCTGGGAGGATATGTGCACTGACTTGTACATCGGCTAGCCAGCGCATAGACTGATTACACATTGAAACACCGTCGTAGCAACCTCAAATGGAGCTCGAAGGTATGTGCGCATCCGAAAAACGGGACTAACTGACGTTTAAGGGACCTTATTCTTCGAGCCTTCACACTGAACATTCACTGGCCAACACACCAAGACATAATAAATTTAGAAAACCTCAACAATCACCTGATCACTGCAGAACTAATTTGATTACAGATGAGAATAACCAACGAGACGAAGACGTTCGACATTTATAGAAAGGAAGTAGAACGGCGTCGGCAGAAAAATGTCGTTACTTTAAACATGCTAGTTAAGCAGGCCTTTGTGAGTGAGACTATTTACACTAATGTCTATCAGCATTCTTAACTTAGATGAACTACAAGATTACTTCATGAATAATTAAAAATGCGGCAAAATCTCAATATCTCAGATCTAGTCATTAAAATAGGCTGTCAGCGCAGCTAACAGGCATAATGCTGGTTGCCTACGCACAGCCTTGAATCCTTAAAGGCACAGTTCACGATAATTCAATGAGCGGGGACGTCAATGGCCTTCCCGCCTCTCCATCGATGTCACGTCAGACGTCAGAGACGAGTGTTGAGACAATACAGATTGCAAATTTTCGTTCTAGGACCCACACACAATCAGCTGTTGCCTAGTGATGAGGCGACGTTCTCCTCCCATTCTTTTTTCCTCAACTATTCTTCTTGCTGCCGCGATCCCATAATTGATTTCCTACTCCTAAAGGCTGAAAAAGGTGAACAACTCTTGCTGTTACTAAGGTTTTTTTGGTTCATTTATGCTTATAAGTGAATGAATTTTCGCTTAGAATTGTCTTTTATTTACACCAGGACCCACACGCACGCAGTGAGACACATTGTATAGCTCGTCCAAACGCCCCACTCTTCATTTTTCCGAACTCATTCTTGTCCAGCCCCCTGTTTTACGGTTTTTCGAAGTTTTTTCACAGTTTGGAAACACCAATTCACGCAGTTTCTCCACCTTCATCGCACTATTTTCGATCTTTTCGTCCACTTTTCATCATAATCTAGACTACCCAAAATTATCGTAAACTGTGCCTTTAAGACCATGTACAGGGTGCACCAAAATTATGATTACACATACATCACACCCCCAAAAACGAATACAATGGTAATAAAGTAAACCAATTCCAGAAAAGTGTTGATCACTAATCTTTAAAGAAAATGGTACATTGAAACTGGGATCGAGAACGGATTGCTATGACCTTGGAAAAAATTTACTATGAGCGTTAGCGCGCGCTGTAATCATAATTTTGGCCCACCGTGTATACGGTAGCTATGGGTGGGAAATTATTCCTATCCAGAATGGCTCTCAGAACAGCCTTGCCACTGAATCTGTGTTCCAATACTTTAGCGCCATAGAAGACCCTCAGTGAATGAGCTCTGTCTTACTACTGTTGACGGCCCTAATTACTGCATTAATTACATAAACATTAAAACCCCTTATGAATTTTGATTCTCCAAATCGGAACTCCGAGTTCCATTAAATATGCGTCTTCTGAAGATACTCCCCGTCCTCTTTAGCCCTTACCCTAATTCCATTTTGCCATCTCTATCCTGACCCCAAAACTCTGTAATTTTTGCAGCCGTTGCACGTCTTGTAGCGAGACCAAAAGCTTTTTTGTCCTCGGTCTAACTTGAGGATGCTCTTCCCGCACACTTCGATACGCACACACTCCAGTTCCGAGTAGATGGCCAAACAGACACACCAACTAAGCCGTTCATTTCTTCCGTGTCCTTATTGGCATCAGACCTGTCTGAATTATGAAAGCGCTGACTGGCAGATGGACTAGTTGTTGCAGGTCAATGTGAAGGCCACATACTTCACAATGACATGCAGCATACCTTCAACCTTCAAATACCACACGATTCTGAATGGGATCAATGTGTGGGTCGTTAAAAAAGGGGTTGTCGAGGTTACAAGACATTATCCTAAGCTTGGATCGTCAGAAATATGATGTTACGGCTCTACGCTCGAGGTTGAGGCTATCATATGAAGGCAGCCTTTATCTAGTTGAAGAACAACCATTCGAACTTGACGATTCGAGTAAGTTTCAAGATAATGTGGCTATGATTGCAGGATGAAGTGAAAAATGAGAACCATAAATGTGACGATATGCCTTTGTTATGGGCACAATGGCATACAAGGTTTTACCATGATATCAATCGGTATCTACAAGGCCAATGGCTGATTTGTGGTAAGAGCGATTCGTGCTTTTCACGGTGACCAGTCAGAATACAGACGGTACCGGGTAACCTGAGACCTCTTGCTTCAAACCTTTTGGGCGGAGTTCATTCGTGAAGGAGCCTTCCATGGGTCTTTCACGAATGAACTTGACTTTAGCAACCCGCTTGGTTGGTCGAATCGTTAAACCCTGATACCGACTAGTGCTACTGACGAATAGTAACAAATCAATCATAAAGTTGCTGCTTTACATAACCCATCTTATTTTCATGGATGAGGAATCATTCCGAAAGATCTCCCAGGAGTGGTGGTCAGACACTTACCAATTAGTGNAGGATAAGACAGTATGAGTGGTATCTGGGTGAGGATATTGTAGTCGGCTCGTCTCCAAGCGATGCCATGACCCCGACTCTCAGCTTTTCCACTGATCCTGTGAACCTCTCTCCCTTTACCCATACAAGCAACTAACTACAAGTAATTATCAAGTAACATACAATGGTACGACGAACTCGTCCAATAATGGGCATGTCCGACACAATTCCGCTGTTGAGAAAGTCCATTGTCTTTGCTGTCCTATGGCTTTGCTACAAGGTCTAATGTGGTATACATTTTCTAGGTTTCTATTTCGTTGCTGAAGGGCTAAGCGAGCTTTAAAGCTTAAAAAAGTCTATCCATTCCACCAGTCGACGGAAGGGGAACGGGAGGTATTCAGAAGAGCAACAAACAAACTAAGAAAAACAAACATCGTTAGAATACACCAGCGACACCCATTAGTTTAGCGACTTTCGGCTGTGATAAGTTTGGGAGCCGTGATGATTGACAGGAATGACGCCGCAGGTACAAAGCCGTGGCTCATCGCTTCTGCGACCTGTTCGACAAAGTATAAACGTGGTCTTGGCCTGTTCAAAGTGACCTTCGTAAGAGAGGCGTTCGTCAAACGCCCTTACTACTCGCCATCTGCACATAATAGGCCCTGAAATGACTTTAAAAATGCTCTCCTCCAACCGATTTCAAGCAGATATTGCTTCAGCACTCATTGGACTGTTTTCGCTGCTGATATTTGCTGCGAAAATACAACAATATCGGATTCTCGATGCTATGGAAGGGTTGCAAAGCAGTCCGAGAGAAGAAAAGGTATGTTCAGGCTGTAAAGAGGGTAATATCTCTTAGGTTTCTGGCTCCAATCAATATCTACTCGAACCATATTGCATATCTGTAGTAAGTACTCTCCGCGAATGAAGTGTAAGATCAACTGAATAAGTATTCGGCCAAGTTCCNATGATTATCATCACTACAGCTGGATACCTGTCACGTTTGATTTTTGTTTGACTTGGGTATTATCACTGTGAATTTCAGCCCAATACATCAGCAACTGCAGATCCTTCCCGGAATTACGATCAAAAAAATGCAGAAAACCAGCCAAAAGTCCAAGATGATGGCCCGAGTAATATGGCATCAATCCAGGCTCCTCCTAATAATCCGCAGATGAACTGGGCACACCCAGGGGCAAAAAGTATGGTTGGCCCTCTGACCGATATCGAAGGAGAGTGGATCCCGAAAAATGACGGGACTAAAGGACTCAAAAGTTACATGAATGATTTGCTCAAAAGTATGCAGGATCCATCGTCGCAACTAAATGAGCCAAATGAAAAAGGAAACAGAGAAAAGAAAGAAAAGGAAGGAAAGGATAAGAAAGGTCAGAAAATCGTTTCCTCAATCCAGTTTAACAGTCTCAACTGAAAAAGGTGTATAACATTTTTACCATTCAATCGCTAATGGAGTAACTTTATCAGAGAGTAAAAACCAAAGGTACTCTAAGCAGGGCATGAGGCATTTTCGGAAAACTAGTGGTGTGAAGAACTACCCCAGCTTCACAATCAGTCGAACCAGATGCCAAACTCCAGAACCAATTCACAGTGCGGCCAAGAGCTTAAGCACTGAACAGAGAGATCACTAACTCTCACTAGCTCCTTGGGTCCCCATTCCCTTTTTTTGGGAGCTGGGATAGCCCTAACACCCGAAACAATCAGAATATTCTATATTGGTTCGCTCCATAGTGGTGATAAAATAGGAAAAAGAAAGCAATTAAACGCAAAGCAAAAATGCAGTGCTTTCTGAAGAATACTTTCAGATGTGCCCGAAGGAGTGTCATTTTAATGTTATGCGTTACTATTCCATAAATACTCGATCGAAATCTTTAACAAAACACAATCGGAAACATGATCACAAATTGAATATAGTCTGTTTTTTGATTGTGAATAATAAAGAGTTGTTCCAAGTGAAGTTATATAATTTAAATTGGAAGTAATTCATACAAATAAAGTGCCAAGGAGTTTGGTTACTTCTTCCAGGAAATCGCGTCGGTCTCGCCGCTTTCGACCGCGCGCAGTCGCAGGCGCTATAAAGGGGATGATATGAATTACTAGGGAGAAGATACGCTAGACGCTCGGAACCACTGCCACCATGGGAATTTGGGAGGACTATCGCCGGCCAGTGTTGAACCGAGGGAAAAACGAGTATAGCAAAATTACATATAAGCAGAGAAGAAAGAAAGAGTAAAAATGGAAGAATCTCTCTGAATTGGCGGAGATCCTGGCCAGTGAAGTGAATCTTAGTGATGCAACGCGACAATCCTAACAGATCATACCGGTTTATGATCGTATATGAAGGAGCAGGAGTACAGAGTCTTATGAGGAGGACTTTGGCAGAAATCTAGTCCCACTAGTGAAACCACTTGCCAGTTATCTCATTTTACTCTCGGTTCCATCCCTCCGATAAATGCGATGCTTGGGGTATAAAGTAAGATCAGAAAGCTCAGCTTACCTGGGTTGATATGATGATATATGATGATAGTGATAGCAATAGCAGGGCGTAGATGATAGCACGTTACTACTAGCCGAAGCAAATTCGTACGATTGATTCCTGTACTTACACTACAAATCGAGACTTATCGACTCAAAAATATTGATTTTGATGAGATTGTCAAGTAATTCTCTTCTTTATGAAGTAATCAAATTTATAGGTGATACAGACTGAAATTTCAGCGTGGCGATGTTATATTATATAGATAGAAAACATTCCAGTATTCTACTGGTACTCCATTGCACTCCGTACTGGTTATAATCAGAGCTGCTCGCACCGTACTACGAGCTATGATTTGGTTCCATTATGCTCATAAGCGTGAGAAGTCACAGACGTTCTGCTCGTTTATGATTTGATATACGCTTGACAGCAGAATGTCTACGTCTGGGATAGAACTCAGGTTGATATAGAACAAAGCCATGTGCGACACTATTTTGTTTGTCCCTGGTCTAGCACTATATACTGGGACATACGCAGTCTTCTCGATACAGAATTGATGATCCACTAAGAATTAATGTTTTTCTAAGTGTTTTGAAAACTATGTCGATAAGGAATCAGTGCCTCACACAGACCAATCCGATTCATTCCATAAAAACAGCTCCCGCATTAAGGAAAGTGGGATTGTCTATTCCAACGTCTGTCGGCTCACTGAGCCCCACCCCACCCTTTGCGTTTGCTGACTATCCCCATCGAATGAAGGATTTTCTCCTTTCATGCTTGCGATAGCGATTATAAGTGACTTACAGTGAAACACACCCGGCTCAGCCCAACTTTAGTATGTCCAATGACACATCACAGATTGAAGTTACTGTATTATCACAGTCGGTGAGGGGCCCATCACGCGGGCAGCTAGCTTTGTTAGGGACCGAAAGACCGAAGTTTCGAGAGATTGCTGATAGACATCCCCACAATACGGACCGTCCAACAAAGCGGTTATGAAAAAAAATTAATATCGAGTATCGCTATTCCCTTTGAGCCAGTACCTATGAGAACAGCTGCACATAAGAAATTGAAATGAGAGGTAAAAGCAATTCTACTCAACCCTGATAATCATGTCTACCTATGAGGAACACTCTGTTGTTGTTTACACGTGATTATTGACCGGTATCCTCTTATCCTTTGAAACTAGTAACCAGTAACGATCAGTTCGATCATCTTCACTCCANCCTTGGTCTCCCACAGAGTAACCTTGCTGGGTAGCTGTCGTAATCTATATAATAGTCGTAATCATAAATACATCGTAAATACCACAGGAGTTAAAGTCAGTTGGTAAGTGCTCTTATCAGTTGTTATCAGCTGTTATCAGTTCCTATCATCGGTCGTCTACATCCCGCCATACTCCACATCACATGCCAAACTGCAAAGCTCCACTATTAATACCATTATTATAGTGGCTCGCCGCTTTCCCGTATTTTCATTAGCTCTTATCAGTTTTATGAGCCCGTAGCCTGGCACCAACCGTTCTCGATCCCGTCACCGAAAACATACGATCCTGTCACATCTTATAAAACCTATTAAAATTCCAAGATTCCATTATTAACAAAAAGTCCGTTGGTGGCTCTCGCCTTCTATGTTTTCTTATCAGTCCCTATCACTTGCTATCATTCCCTGTCACCAATCATTAACGATTCCATCACATCCTATACCACCTGCCGAAGCGCCAAGGCTTCATCGTTAACACAAAGGGAGTTATGGGTCCTGTGGCTTTTGCCTTTTGAGGTTTCTTATCAGTTTCTATTGATTGTTCTCATTTCCTATTACATACCAACAGTGTTCCCATCCTGTCATCTGCATCCCTTGCAACTTTGCATGTTCTAGGTTCAGTGGGACAGGAGTTATGAATTTTCAGTCAGACAAACACACACACGCAAACACACCAACAGACACACTTAGCCGATTATATAAGTAGGATATTCAAAAGGAAGAAGTAGGAGTAGAGTTCCATGAGGAGGGATCTGGCAGAAATTTAGTTCCGGTGGTGAAAACAGTTGCCTGTTATATCAGGCTATCCAACATTCATCGGAAGGATAGAACTCTAGATTCTATCCGCCCGATGAATGCGGTGCTCGGGGTAAAAAGTAAGATCAGAAAGCTCAGGTTACCTGGATTGATATGATGATAGTGAGAGCATTAGCAAAGCATAGATGATAGCACACTACCACTCGCCGAAGTGGATTCGTGCAATTGATTCCTGTATTTACACTACAAATAGATACTTATCGATTCAAAAATATTGATTTTGATGAGATTGTCAAGTAATTCTCTTCCTTACGAAGCAAGCAAATTTATAGGTGATACAGACTGAAATTTCAGCTTTGCGATGTTATATGATATAGATAGAAAACATTCCAGTATTCTACTGGTACTCCATTGCACTCCGTACTGGTTATAATCAGAGCTGCTCGCACCGTACTACGAGCTATGATTTGGTTCCATTATGCTCATAAGCGTGAGAAGTCACAGACGGTTCTGCTCG